GTGTCAGGAGGATGGGGCCAGGCTTTTTTCAGTGGTGCCCAGGGACAGGACAAGAGGCAACAGGCACAAACTTGAAGTTCCACCTCACCATGAGGAGGAACTTCTTTCCTGTGAGGGTGGCAGAGCCCTGGCAGAGGCTGCCCAGGGAGGTGGTGGAGTCTCCTTCTCTGGAGACATTCAAACCCCCCTGGACATGTTCCTGTGGGACCTGCTCTGGGTGGACCTGCTTTAGCAAGGGGGTTGGAGGAGATGATCTCCAGAGGTCCCTTCCAACCCCCTATCATTCTGTGATTCTGTGTGATAGTGTTTGCTCCAGTCTGCCAGGGAACTCGGCCCATTCTCAGACCCAGAATTCAATACCTCCTGAAGACAAATGAAGTACACAGATTTGCTTGCTTTCAGTCTCTTCATGGCAGAATTCATCTGGCCTAGAAGCAAAACTCAATTTTGCTGTCTTTCAGAAGCCAAGAATAAAAACATTCCCCCTGCTCTCTCCCCGGTGAGTGAATCTGACTGACAGGGCACCGCAGCCCAGCGAAGCGCCATCCTCTTCACCTCCTCTGTGGTCGCTGCACAGCGAGGGAAACTCTGGCGGTTATTTGCAAGAGCTCTCAAATCCCCTCCCTGGCGAGCACGCCTCAGCACCTTCTCATTTCACAGACACAATCCCCGTGCTCCAGGATACATTAAAATGCCATATAAATGGCGTTTTTCAGCGCCACGGAATAATAGCACTGGGTATGCATTTCCCCCTCTCTGCTTCCTCCTTAACTCAGTCAAAGAGATAAGAGCAGGAACAGTTTCATCATAAAATAACAGCAGCAACATCGCTAACTTTTGAGCTTCTTCCATTTCCCCAAATTCTCTCAAAAGAAAAAAAATAATCTCCGCGTGCCGAGCTATTGGCAACTCCAGGCTGTGTTTTATCTATGACATCTAATCCAAAGGCCAAGTACCCAAAGGCCATAACTTAATAGCTGTAATAGAGGCAGTAATTAGTAGCTGGTTTTAATCTGCAAGTCTGAGAGCTGATTTTAATATGCGAAGCTATCAAAACACTTGTTAAGCCCACACAAAACGTTTTGGTTTCAAAGGACCTTCCGCTCTCACACTAGAAAATCCCTTTTTATTTGAAAAAGCCCTCGCCAATTCCATCAGTAACACCCTCATCTGCTGCAGTGCTAAATTTGCGCTCTTTGCCACGTTACCACCACAAACTTGGAGGCCAAAACTCGAACTCCAGTTCCCAGAAACCTAGAACAATTCAATTATTGGCTGCTACACCCCTTTTTACTGCTTCCCTTCCAGAGGAGGGCTCGATCCAACCCACATTCCTGTCGCTGTGGCTATCGGGGAGACCACCTCACCTCCAGGAAACGCACACCCAAAGCTCCAACAATTATTCTACGTGCTGAGCTGGTTTGCTCCTGCATCAGCTTTCACCAGCCCCACCTCTGTCCTCATTTAGCCGTCTGCTTCCTCTGAGGGCCTATGATAAATCTGTCTGGCTTAAAAAAAAACAGAGAAGAAGTGGCCAAATAGAGCAAAACCCCCAGATACTCCCCAACAGACGCGTGCACCTCTTTGTTTACAGGAGCTGTTACGTACCTTTTATTTCAGTATCTTCTCTTCCACCTTTTCCCCAGTTCTTTCACTGCGTATGAAATGCAACTTCCAAAATACACATTCCTGTTGCTCTTCCCCTGCATCCACATTTGCATTTAGAACCCTTGGAGAAAAGTCTGATCACAACATGCCTGAGCCACTAAGGCCAAGTGAAAACACAGCCCTTTCTCCCACCCATTTGGCAGAGGGATTTTCAGTACCAGTAACAAACCCATGCTTGTATTTTATTCTTGCTTTTTTGTGGTGATAGTTACAATTCTAGAAGGTACATACCACAAGCTAAAACATTAGTTGACTAAGATATATATTGAGAAAAAAAGCCTGAACCTTCCCTGTTGCTGATCATCACAATCTGCTGATTCAAACCAGTTTCATGCAATTTATACTTTTTGGGATTACATTTGAACAGTTACACTGCAGCAGCCAAGTTTTAAAATAGCTTTTTTTTTTTTTAAAGTAATTGAATAGTATTACTTTTTGGGATTACATTTGAACAGTTACACTGCAGCAGCCAAGTTTTAAAATAGCTTTTTTTTTTTAAAGTAATTGAATAGTGTGCTTTTCCCTTCACCAGTTTTCCCCCAGCAGACACTAGTAGAACTTAAACATTTTAGGCAATGTAACAAGAAGCGAGGTTTTATTTTCTATTGTTTAATTTAAGCTTGCAGATCCCTAAGAAGAATTTGCTTTTGCAGAACTCTAAGTCTACAACAAGAAGACATATTTTTGAGAAGCAGAAGCATACACAGACAGTAGAGTTCTGTTTCCATCTGTACCACTGAGCTGCCTTCTGACACCTCCTTGCAGAAGCTCATCACCAAAAGTTGGATTTCATGGTATGTGGCTGGTGAGGGGGCAGACAGGACAGAGAAAAGCAGCCTGAAGTTCCTTTTTCACCTCCTCACAATATTACCATGTTTCAGAACTTAAGTTTGTCCACAGCACCAGCATGAAGTGAAGAAGTGCCAAACTAAAAGGCAGTCACTATTCTCCACATCACTTTACCAAAATAATTAGTACAATCTTCCTCTGTATCTATAAAAAAAACACTTTGCACGTGAGCGACTTGCAAAAGAGCCTAATAATAAATACTGAAAACATTCCAAAAGGACAGTCTCCTAAAGTTTACTTTCAACAAAATACTGAAAACCTTCATGAAGAAGCAGCCAAAAAAGACCAGTTTGGGCTCGGCTCCAGCTCTCTGGCATAATCCCTGTTCTGTCGGCGTCGCAGCCAGCACTTGGAAATTTGGCTGACACACCCAGGAAAGTGGCTCCCAACTCTCTCTGTGTGTTTACACAAATAGCCAAGACTCAGCTCACACCAGCATTCTTAGGGATTGTTTGTTTGTTTTAAGTCTGAGAGCCTGATTTAGGGATTTCTGCATCACAGAACTAGGGCAGGATAGAGCACTTCTCTAATTCTGACTGTTGGGAAGATGGGATGAGCCCATCTGCTTTTATTCTACCTCCAACATCAGTTATGTTGCTATTTGGGAAGTCCAGTTTAGTCTTCTTATGTCTCACGATACACAAATGCTTGTCCTGAACTAAAAGATAACGAACTATTCTTGCAATTGTCCATAGGAAACAAAACCCCACATTTTTTGGCAGTCATTCACAGCACACATTCACATAGGGCTTCTTGAATCTATCAGTCTGCCCCTTGAAGATAAAATTCAAACTCTTCAGGCTTCCCCCCTCGACCCAGAGCATCATTTATATAGAACAATGAATATTCTCTGCTCTATATAATTGCACCATGCACATGGAAGAAAAAGTCTCTTTGTGTGATTAACTATTTTGGAGAAAATTAAATGACTAAATACCAACACCCCACATATTCTCGGTTGTTTGTTGTAATAAATAATAATCCTCTAAACTCCTGAAGTTGTACCTTAGATCAAATGGTGTTTGGAAGTAAAACCTTGCTACTTACTAATCATCTCAGAGTGTCCCACCTCTTTTTCTACTTATCTGGCAACAAAAGGTGGCAAGAAAATGTTGTGCTCCTCTATAGGTGCAGTTTCACTTCACACTTATTGACATTTAACAGAAACCCTCTATAGGTGCAGTTTCACTTCACACTTACTGACATTTAACTGAACTATTGCCAAAAGATGCTGTTTCAGTCCTGCTGCTGCCTCATCCCTGCCCTGTCAACGTCCTGCTTCCCTGTGCTCATTCCAGCAGCTGCAGAACGAGCCAAGCTGGCTTCACTGATCCAAAAGAAAATTAACCAAAAAAGCAAAGAAACTCCCATTCAGCGTATATGCAACTTGAAACCACAAACCCCCTAAAATCGCTGCACTAAACACATCCAAATTCTTCACTTCGAAGGCCCTTTTTAAAGGCATGGGACAAGAGATCTGGAAATTCAGCGTATTCATCAGACCTGAGGATAATTCTGATGGGCAGGGACCTCAGGAGGTCATCCTGTCCAAACTTCTGCTCAAAGCAGATAAATTCATCCAGGAGATGACAAGACATAATCTGCTTACTATCAGGAGCAGTAAAGATTAACCTGTTCTGGTTAAGCAGGAGGTAAATGAAGCCTAAGAGAGGCTCAGCAACACATTCCCAACAGAAAAAGACGAAGGGAAAGGGCAGGGAAACTTCACTACTGAATTTTTGGTTATTTTTAAACCAATATTCACTTCTACTCAACAGGAAAACTGGATCAGCTTCAGTTTAATGAGCCCTGCTCCTACCAGGATCACTATGCTGCCCCAGCAAGATGAAGGGAACTGCAAAACCAGCAAGGCAAAAAGCCCAGTAAACTTAAACCATTCACAACATAATAAAAAGTCTTATAGACTCAAGTCTGCCATAGAGATGACGCTTCTTTGGAATATTTGCCTCTGGTTAACCTAGAAAAACCACCCTTGCAAGCATCACTATTGTATCAGATACAGAGATTATCCTCATTTTCTTAAATGGGTAAGATCCAGGATTTACCCACTTTGTTTGGATGCAGAACTGCACAGGCAAAGCCACTCAAACGGCGAGTAGAGCCACCATCTCAACTTCCAAAGCACCACTGTGTTACACATAGAGCAAATAAACAGCTTTATATCTGCACTACTTACTACAGTCCTAAATATCTCTCTCATTTCAGAGGCAAATAAAAGACAAGAAGGGGGCGATGCTAACTTTTGCTAATCAGGAGCAGATTTTTTTAATTGTTTAAAAACAAGAGAGACCAGAGAATAGACTGTGAATTCTCCACACTCTGTTATCCCAGGGAGTCTATTATCCCAGACCAAACACTCCATAAACCCCATTCTTGTCCATAGCTTTGGGAACATCACACAATTTAGATATCACTGCCATAACTGCTTCCCTAAGGAAGTTTTGCCCTGCTGCATTACTCACTGCCTGGTGGATGTCAGCCTTCACTTCTTCACTCAGCATTCCCTCAAACACAAAGGAGTCCCCAAATTTCTCTGCCTGTAGAAAGAACAAAAAATTCAGCATTATTATTAAAAGAACGTTATTCTTAAAACACCACTCACATTTACAGCTTTGTCTTACCAAGGATAAAGAAATTCTAATAGTAATTTTGAGTTTTCTCTCAAGGAAGCTATTTTGAAACAGAAAAGAAGGCATTTTATCTCTGGATATCATTGTTCTTCAACAGCCACTGGGCAGATGGCAGCTCACAGAGCTCCTGCAAATGTTTTTACTTCTATTAATTAAAAATGCAGTTCCAGTTGTCCCAACTGCTTTAAAATGGTACAGTCAATAATCTAACATTCAAGGGCATATTTCATTTCTCTTAGTTTTCCTTCGGCAAACACAGTTAAAGAATTCAGCCTTGTCACTTTCTGCTCCTTCACCACCACGTTTTGAAGTTCTGTTACAATAAATATAGAGAAGTTTAAAGTAACGTAAACATTATTTCTAAGATTATAGATAGAAACAAAAGAAACAAATGAACAAGAAATACAAGTAATTTCAATGAATCACAGTACACAATACCAACACAGGGTTTTTCCCCTTGGTAAATTGAGTGAATGGATATACTGGGGAAGTCAAAACATGTTATCAGAATTCAACACATTTGCCCTTCTCAATTTCTTCGTTTTATTATAGGCATTCAAAGACTGAGAATGATCACCACGAGCTGCTTCTGCACACTCACAACTCCTCAAGAAGCACAGTTTGAAAAAATTATCCTACTCACCACCCAGACTGCAAGACATTTTAGCTTATGACCATTATACATTCAGTTTCAGAAAGGAAAGAAAAGGAAAAAACCCAAACTTTATCTTTTTTCTACTGGCCAGATAGAGGCAAGCAGGTTTATCACCTGAAGGACCCAGATTTCAGTCTGACACCCTCCATTAAGGACTATTGTTTGGGGTTTTTTTGAAGTTTGTTTAAAAAAAACCACTTTTGGTTCAACAAGATAGCTGTACATCTGGAGGGTTTTTTTCTTCAGCTTTCTATTTACTTTCAGGTTTCAATTGCCACTGGAATTCAGTCTAGTCTTTAGTAAAAGAAAACCAAGCAGTAGGTTGGCTCTGTTTACCCGCAGTAAGCAATGTGGACGTTATTAAAATACACAAAAAACAGCTCAGCTGCATCCTAAAAAAAAACCCTGCAGAATCACTGTTTACTCTAACTCTGAGTTTATTTTTCCAAATCCAGTGTAAAAGGGGGCCCTACGTGAGGGGGGGAAGGGAGAAGGGGTAAGTGGAGCACCCAAGTGAGCCATGAAGCCTGGCTGAAACAGACTCCATCTACAGTCAGATACCAGAGCACATGCGCTGCTTCCAGGAGCCCTCTGCAACAAGAAAGCCCTGTTCAGCCTCAAAACTGTTAAGTAACCTTTTTTCATAATTATTGAGCTAAGAACTTTAAAACAGAAATAGTGCTGTAGATAAAAGAAGCCCTTCATCCACCCAGAAGGATCCTATCTTCCAAATGAGAACCAGTTTCTCAAGTGAATTCAGCAAAGTGCCTCCTTTGAGACCCGATCGTTACCGAGGCTTTGATTTGCCTAAAAGGCCTGTCAGAGCTTTATAAAAGTTGCGTAGGAACAGTCAACTGTCAAGAAAGATCAGAGCCTCAGGCACAGGTAGCTTCTTTCTTGGAAGAACCTTAACATATTCTTTCTTAGTCCATTGTTCCCAGTAACATGCACAAAACTATTATTATACTTGCTATTATATCTTCTTTCGACAGCGGGGCTTGCTGTCGCTCAGCTCATTAGCAAGTAGCTGCGCTGAACTAGCCTGCAGAGTCCTCAGCTAGCACAGAGTTTTAAATCCTTTCTCCCCTGTTCTCCCAAAATAAGGAAAAAAATCTAACAACATAGTTGTGCTGGTACAAGGATGGCCTAGGGCCCAAGGGTCTAAAAAACCCAAACCAAACAAATAAAAACCAAAAAACCCTGCATAGACATTTTCAGCCTTCTGTTAGCTTCACCCAGGCTGCCTGTCATTCTGCAGAGAAGATAATTAGTTCAGATACTGAGACACTCAATGCAACAGCATACATATAAATGCCCTCTCAGACCCCTGGGCAGCAAGGCAATTTCATCTCTCCACTGCTTACATCAGAAATCCCAAGCAAATATTGAGATGTCCTTCAAAAAACAATAATTTAAGAATAGCCCAAGTTTTTAAGAGGTATTTTGCCACCACAAAGCAAGCTGACAGGAGACTGTCCCCCTCTCTGCCTTACCTCAGTGATGTACCCAGTAGAATTCACAAATCTCTCGAAGTCCTCGTTGCTGACCTCGTACTGATCCATGTAGAAACTGTCGACGTGGACTCTTCTAGCTGGCCATTCCCCGTCCTGCTGTATTTCAGGCTCATCAGTGCCCATTGTGAACACTCCTCCTGGAATAGCCACCATCTGCAGAGAAAACCACCCGAAATATTACGAAAATGAAAGACTGAAATGCCTCTGATCCGTCTTACTCCTCCCACCACCTCATTTTTTGAGGTGCTTTTGCTGCGAGCAGCATTTCACTGACAAAAACAGCACAATAAAATGGCAACAGTGGCATCCTGATCACCACCTGTTCGGCAGAAATAGGAAGCAGAATTTAAATCAGGAACAGAAGTCCTATTTGCAGCTTTTTCCTACGCGAGGCCTGGGTAATGCAGAACTTTTACTGCGGGTAATACTTGTGCTCTAACGAGGAGAAACACCTTCCCCTACTCTACCTAAGGGTCAAGAAACAGCCAAGAAGCAATCCAGGGTCCTTTCTGCTCATTTCTAAGTGAGGAATTTTTGGCATTTCACTCTATTCCTAGGAAGGCTTGATGCATCAGTGAAGAATCTGGAGATTACGAAACTGTGAAGTGCTCTTTTGTGGACAAGCCTATGCCTGTTTGCATAGTAACTACACATGGGCTTTTAAATAACAGGAATGCACAGTGTTATTACCAAGTACGCAGCTCACTGGCAGGTAGGCACAGCACCTGCAGCTCCGTCTGCCAGGGATCAGCCAAACTTCCCAATCAGATACAATCCACACCTCTGGAAGACAGGCCTCAGGCAAGAGCCTCAAGCTTCATAAGGAAAGGATGAGTGAGAGAATAACATTTTAAATATTTCAGTAAAACGCTTTCCCTTTAAGGCCTCAGTCAGTTTCCAGAGAAACAAAACACATTTTCCTTCAGCTTTAGTGAACTCTTTTTGGGAAGATGGAAGTCCCAGAGGTCTTGTGCCTCATCAGATGTTTCCTGGGAGCCCTCTAAAGAGCACAGACTGAGCAACGCACGTCTCACCCAAACAACACGAGCATCCAGGCTCCCTGCTCAGAAGCTTGTGCTGGAATGGAGAATGACAACACAGGCTGCATAAAAACTTCCCAACGGGCAGGGGATGTCTCCAGGGCTGGCTACCCAAGAGCTAGCTCACCAAGATGCTACCCAACCCATCATCAACAGGTGAAAGAACCGGGGAAGAAAACTCCCTCTCCTTTCTTTTCAGTATTCCTGAGCCACCTTCACCCCTAACTCGCATTGAATCCAGCCACCTGGTAGAGGCTCATGAGTGGGTGAGCCTCCAAAATGCCAGCCAGCACTGACATCCCCTGTGGGAAGTGATCTGGCGTGTCATACTGCACCTGAACCTACCCTGGCAGTGAGCTGTGACCACACATCACTCTTACAGGGAATTCCAGCTGGCAAACCAGTTGCAGAACCTGAGAGGAGCAAAGCCAGTTCCAAGTGCTCCATTATTTTTATTTTTTTTTTTCCAAAGATCCTGATGTTCGGTTCGCATGAAATTCAAGTCTCAGAACAGAACATTCACTGAGAGAGAAGTTTCCAGAGTATTACACTGCTGACACTACTCCAGAAACATTAAGTTCTGACAGAAGAAGCAGCCTGGGTTTTAGATGTACAGGAGTTCAAACAAAATCCCATATACATCTAGTGGAATAACACAGTGTGCCAAATGGATATTAAATGTAGCCAAAATGCAGATATAGCATAAAAAAATGTCAACTGATGTAACATTATTTAGAGGTAGAGGTGGGTTCACAGAACCAAACGTGAACTTTGGGCTTTGGACATACAGCCAGTTTGCAGCACGGCCTAGATTACAGGACCTTGATTCCTCTATAGTTGGAATTTTGGGTTGGCTTTTTTTTTCTTAGATTGCTTTGGTGAAAGCATCCAACTCTATGAAGAGAGTCTTGTAAACTATCTGGATGCCCACAGTGACTCACAAGCCAGAAAAACAAAAAGAATCATTAGTTACCTTCCAGCTTCTGGAGTTTATTTTTATTTATCTAGTTATACAATACTACATGATCAGTAAATAAGTTCACATCAGCTGTCCAGCACCTTTCCCTACTCTTCAGAGAGCCTGGAGTATTTGACATAACCATACATATCCAATTTCATTGTTTCTTCTCCACTACAAATATCTCTTTTTTGCTTGGATCTCTCCCAGTAACACTTAAAATTGACATAACTTGCACAAGCCCTGTTAAGAAGTGCCACAAATACTTTTTCCTTTGAACTAACCACATTTGAAGTGAGCTGCACCCTCATAACTTTTTCCTCCACTAAAAAAGAATCTGAGAACTTACAGATTGCCTTTAACTGAATCCATAAAAGGGCTTCAGGATAAATTTGCTTACATTTTTTAGGACTTAGCGAATGACGTGGTACAAAATTGCACCACTTCCTTCCTTCCAATCTCTTTCTAACCCACTGTAGCTAAAACAACTCCTTGAAGCAGTCTTCAAAGCAAGACTTGGAGTTCACTAGCGAGCTGCTGTCTAAAAGCATATGAAAAATTAACTCTTGCTCTACAGCCCAGCATTCCTCTCCAAACCCTGAAAAACCTCGATAGCTGCCAGGGTACATCCAAAGGCTTCCTATGAACCTGCTGAGAACCTTATGAACCTTCCTTATGAACCATACAATGAGAGCTGAGACTTCTGGCATGTCCAATGTTGTGTCCAACACTGACACCAAATATTGATTCCCCACCACGTCTTGTTTCTCAGTTCCACCTCCTGTTTGGAAACAGGCCCTTCCTTGGACAGCCAGCTCTGTGGTAACACTGCATGAGAGGCTGCAAAACTCGGAGATCTGAGAACGGTGGAACACAGCACTAAGGGAAGAAAAGACTTTCTGCACGGACATCACATCCAGAAACCACAGTTGTATAGTTAATTAAGCAGCTTTAACATCCAGTTTTAAAATACAGGTGGCTAACACAGAGGAACTAATCTCTAATAAATATCAAAGTTGAACTGTGGAGGCGGAAATCACAGAATGATATGGGGTTGGAAGGGACCTCTGGAGATCATCTCCACCGTTTTAGGTGGATGTGCAACAACAATTGCCTGCATCTTCACAATGTCACTTCACTTGCACACGCAGTTCCTTGTCCTCAAAGCTCAACTTTGACAACTGGGCCCACATTTGCCTATGATTATAGTTACATTGCAAGTGTTACAATAACCTAGAGCAGACCCACTGAAGTATTAGCTCCCCATTTCTAAAGACATAGGGGAAGTAATTTATCTCAGCTGTGGTTGAGGTAGAAGCAAATTTTTCCCATCACTTCCCTTTTGATAGAAAGTTCTCTCCAGCTGAGCATAAACAAGGTCTGTTGTGAACACGGCTTAAAACCCAGCAGCAATTAGTTTTCATTATCTGCTGTTGAAGTTGCCAGCTGCCTCGCATAAGGTAAGATTTTTTTTCACTCTACAGTGAAAATGCTGAAATTACATGAAATGTAGATCAGTGACATAGTCCCCAAGCGCCCTATAGATTATTTAATTCAAACTCTATAAATACACTCAATTTTCTTAAGTGCAGACTGCAATAGTAAAGCCATAATTACCACTGTGCATCCTTCCCTTTACCTGCTAAGTGTCTGCAACCCAGGCTGTCCCCAAGCTGACTCAGCTTCCCCAGGAGGCAATTAGAGAGACAGCCTCTCACATTTTAACTATTTGCAAGCCACCTTGCAAAAGAACAAGATATAAGTCTGATGTGGTATGATTCTGTCAGCCAGAAGTTACTATGAAATGAAACAGCAATCCCGTTTCTAATAACTGAAAATATCTCAGGCAGTGAGGCATTTGGTCTGTGACCTTACAAAGAGTCTCAGTATCACATTAGGCACTCTCATAGCACATCAACACACATTAAACACTGCCTTCATCAAGAAAGCACACTCAGCTCTGAATGGTTTTCCAAAAGAGCAGCAGAAATAGCAAGGAATAAGCAATTAAAGAGACACGAAGAGAACCTGAAAGGTTACCTAGATACGGATACCTAAATGATGGCTTTCCTAAAACAGATAAAAGAGACCCAACACCACTTGTAAGTGTTTCATTTCCACTGATACCAGCACACACCTAAAAGAGATGCCTGGGGGGGAACCAGAACCAGAGTAGTATGGATATTCACCAAGTCAGGGACTGCACTAACCGAGCTACCACCTCCCCGGGCCAGACAGCAACAGGCAGCCTCACTCCAGCACATTCTCTGGCACACATATTCCAGCGTTGGCCAGACAAAGCTGTGGGGAGGCTTGCCAAAACAGGCAGCCAAGAACAACACCTCAAACCGGTTCATCTCATCTCAGCTTTACACAGGGAAAAACAGTCGGGATGAACACGGGTGGGGAAGCAGGGAAGGCCACCAGGACACGGGCCCAGGCCTCTCTCCACCTTCAGGAGCACCAGAAAGCCCCAGGAGACGTTTTCCCCGAGCGGGAAAAGCCAAGGGGAACTCGCCGGAGCGCCGGTGCCCAGGCTCTCACGAGTTCGACCCCAAACGGCTGCGAAACGGCTTGAACTAGAGTCCCTACACGCTCCGGTCACCCCGGAGCACCAGAGGAGGCCCCGCTCCCAGACTCTCGGCCCCCGCCATGGGGGGGGAGGGTCGGAAACAACCGCCCCGCCGCTCACCGGCCTGTGCCCGGCGCTCCGCCCGCCGCCCGCTGCTGCTGCCGAGTACCGCCGCGCCGCCGCCTCCCGCCCGTCCCCGCCGCTCCGGCTGGTGCTGCAGCCGCAGTCCCCGCCGGGAGCCGCCTCTCCCGCGAACCAGAGTAGTATGGATATTCACCAAGTCAGGGACTGCACTAACCGAGCTACCCCCTCCCCGGGCCAGACAGCAACAGGCAGCCTCACTCCAGCACATTCTCTGGCACACATATTCCAGCGTTGGCCAGACAAAGCTGTGGGGAGACTTGACAAAACAGGCAGCCAAGAACAACCCCTCAAACCGGTTCATCTCATCTCAGCTTTACACAGGGAAAAACAGTCGGGATGAACACGGGTGGGGAAGCAGGGAAGGCCACCAGGACACGGGCCCAGGCCTCTCTCCACCTTCAGGAGCACCAGAAAGCCCCAGGAGACGTTTTCCCCGAGCGGGAAAAGCCAAGGGGAACTCGCCGGAGCGCCGGTGCCCAGGCTCTCACGAGTTCGACCCCAAACGGCTGCGAAACGGCTTGAACTAGAGTCCCTACACGCTCCGGTCACCCCGGAGCACCAGAGGAGGCCCCGCTCCCAGACTCTCGGCCCCCGCCATGGGGGGGGAGGGTCGGAAACAACCGCCCCGCCGCTCACCGGCCTGTGCCCGGCGCTCCGCCCGCCGCCCGCTGCTGCTGCCGAGTACCGCCGCGCCGCCGCCTCCCGCCCGTCCCCGCCGCTCCGGCTGGGGCTGCAGCCGCAGTCCCCGCCGGGAGCCGCCTCTCCCGCGGCCGCCGCCGCCAGCCCCATCAGCGGGAGGAGAAGGAGGAGGAGGAAGCAGCGGGACAGGCGGGCGCAGGGTGCTGCGGGCGCAGCCATGTTGGCGGAAGCACCACGTGCCGCCGGCGGTCAGGTGACGCGCCGCGCCTTAAAGGGGCCGCGCCTCCGGCGGCCGTTCCTGAGGCGGAGGCGGAGCGCGCCTGTCCCGTTGCCTAAAAATAACGGGGCGCGGAAGCGAGCGCGGCCGGAACGAAGCGAGCGGAGCGGAGACGCGGTACTCAGCGGCCGGGAACCTCCCGGGCTGCGGTTACATGCGCAGGGAAGCGGGGTTTGGCCGAGCTGTGTGTGTCCCGGGGGGGCCGCCGGCAGCGTTCCTGAGGGAAACGTGTCCCCGGCGTGACGGCGGGAGGGCTGCGCTCCCCAAAATAACTCCTCCGGTACAGCCTCACACACAGCAGGGCCGCCCGCTGCCCCGCTCCCCTCCGCCGGCAGAAAATGGGGAAAGGCAAAGGTGTCTGCCGCTTCCAGACACCGAACCCTGGGAGTAGGGGTGGGTGGAGGGGACCATTGAGTGATGGCCGCTGGTGACCTGCATCAGGAACAGTGTGAGCAGCAGGTGGAGGGAGGTCATCCTGCCCCTCTGCTCGGCCCTGGGGAGGGCCCAGCTGGAGCACTGGGACCAGTTCTGGGCTCCCCAGTTCAAGGACAGGGAACTGCTGGAGAGGGGACAGCAGAGGGCTACAGAGATGATGAGGGGCCTGGAGCATCTCTCTGATGAGGAAAGGCTGAGGGACTTGGGGCTTTTTAGTGTGAAGAAGAGAAGGCTGAGGGGGGATCTGATCAACACCTATAAATACTTGAAGAGTGGGTGTCAGGAGGATGGGGCCAGGCTTTTTTCAGTGGTGCCCAGGGACAGGACAAGAGGAAATGGGTACAAACTTGAACATAAGAAGTTCCACCTAAACTTGAGGAGGAACTTCTTCACTTTGAGGGTGGCAGAGCCCTGGCAAAAGCTGCCCAGGGAGGTGGTGGAGTCTCCTTCTCTGGAGACATTCAAACCCATCTGGACACGTTCCAGTGGGACCTGCTCTGGGCGGACCTGCTTTGGCAGGGGGGTGATGGAGATGATCTCCAGAGGTCCCTTCCAACCCCATGCGATTCTGTGATTTAGCAATCTTCAGAGTAAGGGGAAGTTCAAACGGCGCCGGTCTCGCTCGGCAGACGGGTGGACTTGGCCTCTGTGTGAACTTTGGCCTTGGCACAAGGGCTCCTCTGGGCCTTGGTCTCTGTCTGAGCACATCGCGCTCCTGTGGGGGGTTTAAACACTTTATTTCTTTCTCTTTCTCTTCTTTATCTTCTGCAGCAAATCGCTGCAACAGAACTGCAGCTGTTGGCTGCACAGTCCTCATCTGTATAGGGAAAAAATTACATTAAATCCAGCTGGCGGCCGGTGACAAGTGGTGTTTCTCAGGGCTCATTTCTGGTTAACGTCTTTGTTGATGATCTTGATAAGGACATGGAGTGTATCATCAGTAAGTTTGCAGATGTTACCAAGTGGCGTGGGAGTGTTGATCTGCACAAGGACAGGGAGGCTCTGCAGAGAGACTTGGATAGATTGGATGGCTGGGCCAACATCAGTGGTATGAGCTTCACCAAGGGCAAGTGCCAGGTCCTGCCTTGGGCCACACCAACCCCCTGCAGCGCTACAGGCTGGGGGAAGTGTGGCTGGAGCTGCCCAGCAGGAAAGGACCTGGGGGTTCTAATTGACAAGCGGCTGAACATGAGCCAGCAGTGTGCCCAGGTGGCCAAGAAAGCCAACAGCATCGTGGCTTGTATTAGAAATAGTGTGGCCAGCAGAAGTAGGGAGGTGATTGTCCCCCTGTACTCGGCACTGGTGGGGCCACACCTGGAGTGTTGTGTCCAGTTTTGGGCACCTCAATACAAGAGAGATCTGGAGGTGCTGGAGCAAGTGCAGAGGAGGGCAACGAAGCTGGTGAAGTGCCTGGAGAACAAATGGTATGAAGAGCGATTGACGGAGCTGGGACTGTTTCGTTTGAGGAAGAGGAGGCTGAGGGGAGACCTCATCACTCTCTACAACTACTTGAAAGGACATTGTGGAGAGGTTGGTGCTGGTCTCACAGGTCATTAGCGATAGAACAAGAGGAAATGGCTTTAAGCTGCAATAGGGTAGGTCTAGACTGGACATTAGGAAACAGTTCTTCCCAGAAAGAGTGGTCAGAGACTGGAACAGGCTGCCCAGGGAGGGGGTGGAGTCACCATCCCTGGATGTGTTTAAGAGTCATTTAGATGTGGAGTTGAGGGATACGGTGTAGGGGAGAACTTTGTACAGTGAGGCCGATTGTTCGACTCAATGATCCCAAGGGTCTTTTCCAACCTGAATGATTCTGTGATTCTAAATATTTTGAGTTAATATCCCATGGAATGAGCAAAGATGTCTTTCAGCTGCTGGCCAGCAGCACGTAGGAAGCACTAACGGCAGGGACTCCTGCGAGGGGAAGGTCTCAGTGCTCACACCTTTGTGCTCAACAGCACAACGTCCAAGCTTTCCTCCCGAGAGAACCCTCATCTCCTCTGTTAATGCTGGGGATGCAACTCAATGTCATCTCAGAATAAGGACTTCAGAAAAAAAAATAAAGAAATGGTAAATTCCTTGAGCACTTCTACTTGTGTGTATCTATCCTGGGATTTGGATTTTTCACGCTTAAAAATGAGGGTTTACCAAGTACGACACGAGCAGTCTTTATGGCAAAAACATCGCCACGGAGGTGGAGAAAACATCACCGGAGGAGGAAAAGGAGAAACCTGCTTTTCCTTCCAAGTGAACATCAAATCCTGCTACTGCAGTTTGGGGTTTTTATGCGGGAATTTTGCGTGTGGGTGCTGGAGAGGCAGTTTGTCCCAGGGCAGGTGAACAGCAGCACGCTCCTGTGCCAGCCGAGCAGGTCGGGAATGGAAACGTGTTTCACAGAGGCACAATGGCCTCCCGCCTCGCTCTTGGGAGAGGCAGCAATTTGCTGCAAGTAGCAAGAAGCAAATTACAGCCCTGATGTGTGCCAGCTCGGCTGGCTGGGACTCTGCCATCAAAGCAAGGGCTCTTCCCACCCTCTGTCCCCCTGCTAAGGAGCTCGGGAAACAAGAGGTGCCACCTTCTGTAGCACAAATCCTGCTCCTTCATTTGCAGGCAGGAAGGGTGCTCTGCCTTTGTATTCCCACGTAGGAGCTGCACAGGCGGGGATCAGCATCTCCACCCAGAGCTGTCCATACCTGCTGCATCAGGGAACTGGGAATGCCCTTGTTTTCCTTCCTTTTTCCAGTAGTTCACTGTAGTGGTTGAAGATTTTGGTGCTCTGTCACGTAAACCTTCACTTTGTGTGGGAGCTTCTCTGCAGGACTGTCAGCAAAATGGAGCTTCTGGATCCTCCACTACACTGAAAAAAATCTCTTCTCGTTCTATTAAGTCAAATTATTTTCAATATTTTTTCCCTACGCAGGTTAGAACTGTGCAGAAAAAAGAAGTGTGGCCACAGCGAAGGAGGGTTTGGTTTGGTTTGTGGTGGCACTGGAGAGGAACACTATTCAACTCTATTTGCTGTATGAAATTTTCCTGTGTGTACAATGACAGTGCTGGGAGTCGTCACAAGCGTGCGTTTCAATTACCCATCATTAGTCCCTTCTGCCCCATGACGTACTTAGAACAGCAGCAGAGTGCAGGAAAACATGTGAATACAAATTCAATTATAAAATCAACCCTTGCTGCTTCAGGGTCAGCAAATGTAAACACTCCTTTTATGTTGAAACAGTGAATCTCCATGAAAATACAAAGTAAACATATCTTATTTTGCCCTTCCACATTTCCAATGCAATTTGCTGAAATAACAGCAAAATCTCAGTATCCAAATTGTACAGTCTTCTAGAACTGCAAGCAGCCTGCCAAGATAACTTCCCCTTATTAAAGCCGTGGGATTCTGGCTGTGTCATGATGGAACTGAAGAAAATCAGCTCATTTCCAATGTGCTGGGACAGTTCTCTAGTGTATCTTGCCCACTCGTTCTCATTGCTCTTCCTAGAATTCTTTTCTGCATTATTTGTGTCCTTCCATCAGGAAGGTCTATGTTCATTACTCTCTCAGGAGACTAGATGAAATAATTACAATTAACAGCAAACAATTAAGTTTGCTTCTGAGCAACGTCCAAGTTCCAGTTTGCAATCCTGAGGACTTTTGAGAACTTTTGCTGCTGTCATTTATTGATGTCTGTGCTCCTAAGTCATTTGTTCACAGGCAGCTAATCTCTTCCATGCAGGGTTCAAACTTTCCTGTTTGGGGGAAACTTTGTCTTAACATCTTTTCCTCCATGCTGAATTCACATAATTGCTACAAATTGTGATGGACCAGACTAAGATTTAGAACGCAGAAAAAAACCAGACTTCTCCAATAGCAAAAAAAATAAATAATCTCTCTTGCAAGGTGTTTTCCTGTGGCTGAAATCACGTATGTGATTGGGCTAAACATCTATATTATAGCACTCTGAAGACTGAAGTGATATCTGAAGTGCTACCTTTTCATCTCTTCTTAAAGCTATAAAGTTATAGGAACCTTGTGAATTCCCTGTGCCTGCAGCAGCATCCTAAAGCAGCTTCCCAAAGAGAAATGGAAACGTTTTCCACTGTTGGAAATGTTCCTGATGATGATCTTGTCTTTGCCAGTACCTCTTCAAATCTAGCAAGTTCTTTGTGGCACCTGATCAGTATTTTTGGCTGAAGGGCCTTCAGTAGTGCAACCTCCACGGCCTTTGAAGAACTGACCAAGACCCAAAGGCAAATGTGATGCATGGGAGAAAATGTAGCCTTTGATATTCTACCTTCCGGAGAGGCTGCAAGATCAAAGGACTGGAAGGTTGCAGAACCAGCAGGAGACAAAGGACATGGCTGCTGAAGGAGAAGCATGGAGAGATGTCTGCAACACTTCGGACAAGGAACTGAGGATTTGCAGGCTGGGATAGAGCAGAGTGTCCCCACGTCTCCTCTGCGGTCTCCGATGCATCCCGTGTCCACAGAACTTCATACTGAGTTGAACGGCTGAGCGGGAAATC